ATTTCTCAAATTTTACATTACAATATCTTCCTGCAGCTAATGAACGCAGGAATTATCAAATCATTTAAAGCCAAATATAAGCATTTATTTTGCCAGCATATTTTGAGACGATTTGAAAGTGGTGCGGATTGATTTTTTTAGGCTCAAGCTCGATTTGAAACAAGTTATTGATTATGTTGCTCGATCTTGGTCTGATGTAACAATTATAACAATCAAAACTTTGAAGCGGCAAGACAGGTAGGTATTCTTTCTGCTTGCAAACAAATCCGGTGGTGATGAATAAAGATAATGAGTCTCTAAATCCATTTAATGATTTATTAACTAATGAACAATTAAGTATTGGCTCATCAAGTTGAAAAATTCACGAGTAATTATTGAAATAGTTTTAGAAGATGCATAAATTGAAGCTGGTAGTAATGTTACAGATTCTAATGAAGACAATGAAGAACTATCATTGCCAATAGTTGCTATTAAGGAAGCTCATGAAGTTTTAAAGAAAGTATTGGGACCAGGATGAAATAAATATATAATAATGGTATAGATAAATTGGAAATATTTTTCTTACTATGAGAAATTAATTGATCTAAAGTACAAAGCAAAAATTGATAATTATATTATCATTTATTAATACTATTTCAATATAAAAAGGCTTTTAATTTATTATCATTTAATAAAGTGAATGAAATTGAAAACCTCTCTATAGTGACAGCATGCATTGATATTATAATATCGTAGGTGCTTCGACCAATGGTGTTCTTATGTAGATGTATCACAAATTTTTGTTGAGTGATAGATAATCTATTACTTATTACTATATTAGTAGTGTAGAAAAATTTTCCTTGAATTTTTCATATAATTAATAATGTCTTCGAATGCCACTTATAAAGTTGGAATATTAGGTGCAACAGGAACTGTTGGTCAAAGATTTATTAGTCTTTTATCAACTCATAAAACTTTTATTATTCATTCCCTTGGTGCTTCTTCTCGTTCAGCGGGAAAAAAATATTCTAAAGCAACAAAATGGAAAATGACTACTCCCATACCTTTAAAGGTTAAAGATATTATTATAAAAGTATGTGAACCTGAACTATTTGGTGATTGTGATGTTATATTTTCTGGGTTGGATTCTGATGTAGCTGGTGACATTGGTAATTAATTATTATGGTTGGTTTGTTTATTATAATGTAATATAATATAAAAACATATAAATGAATAAGTAAATAACAATTTATTACTATTATTTTTATTGGTCTTATTTTTTTTTTTTTCAAACATTAGAGATGAAATTTTTAAAAGCAGATTTAGTGATTTTTCAATATATGTTTTACAAAAGGCTTTTAAATTGCTTTAATTTAATTTAATATTGGTTCTAATAATATGTTGATGGTAAATACATTCTCTCACATCAACTTATGGCTTGTACTACTAGCCTCGAACGTCCGGGAAATTTAAATAAATGAGTGGATACATCCACATGACAAATTGCTACGCGGGCATTTTCGAACATTGTCATGTCCCGTGTACAGAATAATAATAATAACAGATCTACAAAAGGTTTAAATGCGCATATGTTCTGATTTCTCTTTTTTTTTATACATCAATGTGATACAATGAATATGTTGACAAGGAGTTGAAGGTAAATATTTATATTTATTTAAAAGTAAAATTCGAGTAACTGTTTGTCACACTGGAGCAACAAAACAACAATTAACTATTGAACTAAGATCACACACAACAGTTACACTTACAATAGGTTGGCCGACAACACAGGACGGTATACGTCACAATCCATTGCGGTAACAACAAGTTATTAATAGAAATTTGGAAGTTGTCAAATTTTAAGCGTACTTTCTCCCATCTTGTAGGTGAAACGAAAGTGTGGCAAGGTCTTTTAAGCCACCTGTTATCAAAATGGCACACTTCCTTTTGTATATAGGAATAAAAAACGAGACTTGTACTCATAGTGCCTACATGAGTCTCAAAAGTGTCATATGCAATGCACTTGCTACTTTATACTGATACACCGGACATCACATGGCATGTGTGTAGTGATGAATTCATACAAACAAATAAATAAATCAACGAGCCAAAAAATAAGCTAATTTTTTAAGAAAGGTTGCGAATCAGTCAATATAACCAATAATATATTGTGTTAATGATGTAAATTTTATTTGCCTTGTAGCGTTCCAAAAGTCTATATAGAAATTGTGCCAATCCGTTGATCAGATGTAAAATTTCCAAATAATAAAAAGATGAAAGCAAACAACAATAATAAAATTGTTAAAGAACATTTTATCCAAGTTTCCAAATAATAATAAAAGATGAAAGCCAAATTTCTATATAATAACATGGCAACAATAAAATTAACCATTTATCCAAATTTCCAAATAATAATAAAAAATTGAAAGCAAACAATAATAAAAAAATTGTTTAATTAAAAATAAAATAAAAGATAATATGAACAACGAACCATCAAATTCCAAAAATATGTATAAATAAAGATGAAAATTTTTTTTATCAAATTCTTACAATCCTATACAATTAAAACATTTGAAAATCCCTCATTATCATTATCCATTAAAAAACATGTATATATCACTGAACAAAAATGCAAGTTATTGTTTATTAAAACAAACCAAACCCAACCAAAAAATATTGAATTAGCACAAAATATGGAGTTAGTGAGGTCAAGTTAGTGAAAAAATTGTATTACTCAATTATTATTATGTTTATTAAATAAAATTATAAATAAAAATATTATGAATTGACCACATGATTATTATTTGCAAATTACCTATAACAGTCTTTTTTTGCCAAAACAGAAGGACTATTATCAGTGTTGACAACTTGACAACTTGACTAAGTCAGTTTTTATATTCATTGGGCTGACTGGGCCGGACCACTGGTCTAAGTCCAGTTTTGGTCCAATGTGCTGCGGAGAGTCCAATTTTTGTTGGCCATTGGACTTTTCCAATAATTAACTGGACTGGATTGGATTATTCTAGTCCAGTCCAGTCCATAATATTTATATATTTTTTTTTATTCTATTCAATTTAAAAAAAAATTTACAATTGTCCAATATAACATGGTGGTTGTAAATCTACAGTAAACAAATTGCACAATTCCCATTTTGCACTATTAACTCTTTTTGGATGTGTACAATTTGCAATTTAAATAATAGAATCATCATTAATTCTATCATCACATCATTTGTAGTTGTTTCATTTTCTTCATATTCACAAAGGGCTATACCTTCGGTTTCTAACATTATTTTCCATAAAGATAAACCTTCATGATCAAATTCACCATAATTGTGACTTTTCATTAAATTCAATCAGATCAGTTTGATCATCCTGGTTCAAATTTTGTGCAGAATTAGAATGATACATATTTTTAATCAATTCAAGATCTTGTTTCTATGAGGTTGCTTGATAATTCCTTGAATCTGTGCCATTTTAATTACCATTTATACTACATTAAAAAAAAATTAATTAAAATGAAGAACATCTCAATGTAGTGTCAAAAAAAATCACATTAAGTCTATTTTATGTGAAGAATGTAAAAATCCTGCAGATGACCATAAATTTCAATTGACACAAAGTTTATGCACATACTGAAAATTCTTTTAGCTACATAACCCAACTCAGTTGTTTTCTTTCCACACCCCCAATAATTCAATATGCCACCATTCCATTGAATTCCAAGTGATTTCATTGAACGGATATTGTTTATTTTGATACATATTAAACTCACAAAGTATTTTCACTGGCTGGCTTTGATTCCATGCACAATATATATTTTGTCAATTGATGTTTACCCATTTTTAATAAAACAATAATGGAATACATCAGGAAATTTTCCCTGCTGTAAGATTACATCCATAAATTTAATATGTAAAGTTGCAATATTTGCATAAAAATTATATGGGGCATGCTGCAACAAAACCAGACAAAGTGAACATTGGTATTACCAAGGATTTCAGGGATCAATATCGTTTTTTAACATCACAATTATATTATCATGTAATGTGATCATGATATTTGTCTAGACAAAAATAGTTAATTTTACATAAGGTCTACTATGGAACCCAAGAATTACAGCACCATTAGAAGTATTTTGAAAAAGGAACAAGGTGAGAAAATTGCTCCTTACATTTTTAAATTAGCAGATACCAAATCTTTGCAAATATATTTAGAAATTTATCAAGAGGAAAGAGTTTTCAAAAGAGTATTAGAATTCTAGTAAAGAATCAAGGAAAAAAAGAAAACTTGCAGAATAACTTGATAAAAAAAATAATTACTTTTTTTCCAACTTTAATTTTCAATCAAAGTCATTTTTTAGTTTCTTTAACTTCAATTTGAGCAATTAATTGACCATTTTGTTGTTGTAATTGAGTTAATTGAGTTTTTAACTCATTGATCTCTTTTATTAATTCTCGTGGAGTTAATTCTTTTAGTTGTTTATTTTCTTTTTCTAATTGCTTAATTTGATCTAATAATTCCTGTTTCTGTCTTTTATGCCAATCTTCAGCCACTCCTAAAGCTTCCAAGTGTGTATCTACTTCCTCTTCTAACTGTCTTTCCTTTTCTTGCAAGCCATTTATTTGCTGTTTGTAAAAAAGTGCCATTCCTCCATTTTGATGAGGTAAAAGAGGAAGTTCTTTTTCATTTTTCTCTTCTTTGCAATCACAAGTATATCTAGTCTTTAATCTTCCACAATCACACTTAGGCAATTCATTATTTTCAAACTTCTCTTTACAGTTTTCACAAGCCTTATCACTTTCAACCATTTCACCAGTTGCTTTGCTTCATGTTCTGATTTGACAAACTGCTTTTTTTAAACCAGGGCAGAAAACACAAGTAGAATTACTGCTGTCATTCTTCTAAATCTAAGATTATGTAAAGCAGTTCTCTCATGACTACTTAACTAGAACTCCTATTTTAGCAACAATTGCTTGACTGTGAAACTTTTCTCTTTTGATTAATTTCTGCAACTGCTGAACCTTGGCTTTCATTTTTGTTTTTAATTGCTTGAAAATGCTTTGTTTATTTAAAGTCCTACTTTCTACTTCTTTAGGAAGAGAGGGTAAAGGGGGGTTTTTCCAAATATAGTTGTATTTTTAATTCTTCTTTTTCTTTTGCTTCATCCTCAAATCTCCGATCATTCTTTCTTAACATTTCTAATTTTTGGGCTAATTCTTCTTGCAAATTTGCAGACTTTTGGAGCATTAGCAATTTTTCTTTGATTTCATCATTCAAAAGACCTTTTTGTCAATTTTTTCATGCTTCAGTTGTATTTATTGCTTCAGCTAAGTCTTTAGCACTTTGTTCTAATTTCTCAATGACTTCAAAGACAACTTTATTTAATTCCTTCTTTGTTCTGCCTGATAATTCTTTTAAATCTTCCAAGTCTCAGTAATGAAATTGGTCTTCTCAAGAAATAGAATTAATTTCTTCCTGTTTCTTATGTCAAGCTGATAAAATTTCTGTAAGTTTTGTTTCTAAATTTTCAACTTGCTCCTTATACTTCCCTAACCCTTCAATTCTCTTCTCAAATTCTTTTCTTTGATTATAAAGTTGATTATCTCTTCTGCTTGGATCTGCAATATGACTAGAACAACTTGTTGCTAAATCTTTTGAATAATCAATAAACCCTTCTAACATCTCTTCAATAGTGATACTGTCAAATCAAACTCTTTTACGATTTTTGGCTCATGATCTAGTCTCATTAGAATCTACTGCCATTCTTAACTTGCCTTCATCAATTCATTTTTTGTTTAGTCTTTTGTATCATCAATGACCAGGAGAATAATTGTCTTCACTAGGTTGACCTGTCACATGTCAAATTTTTAGTTTTAGTTCTTCCTCTTTATTGACTAATTGCCTTTTCATATTTCAATTTCATTAATAATTCTTTATTTGCTTGTTGTTGTTCATTTATAATGTTTACCATGATTTTTTGTTAAATATCTTTCTTTTATAAAAGCATTATTAAGTATATAATTATTTTATTAATATAATAATGAAGTAATAAAATTTATTTTTAAATTTTCTATTCATTGTCAGCATAAATTGGTTTTGGACAAGTAATTTCTTTAAACTTATCTCTAACAAATGGATGAATGTTTTGATAAAGATATTCTTGTCTTTTGTAATCCAAGGGAGGTGATGTCAACACTATAACATAGAAAGTTTTAATTTCTTTAATAATTTGAGAAACATCTGATTTTCTAGTTTGCAATAAATTAAATTTAATAAAAATTCCATTAGCAACTGTTTGAGTTTTTACAATACCAGGACTAGCTGCTTCAAAAAAAAGTGTTGATATTTTTGTAGACCATTTAATTTCTTGAAATAAATTCCCAAAATGGCTTTAACATCTAAGTATTGAAAGCCTTTTCCACCTTCATAACACTGAGCTTTATTTAATCCAGCTGGACTAGACTTTTTTATCACCTCAACCACATGATCCTTACAATCTACTCTTGCTTTTCTGTAGAGTTTTTTAATCAGTTCAAAACTACTATCACATTTTAATTTGGTATGTCCTGGAATCATGAAATTTAATTTAATGCTTTCATAATGACCACAAATTAATAAAACCAAATTGTTACATTATTTTTATTTTGTCTCCCAGCATTATCACAAGTAATCTTTAAATACTTTTCACCTTTATTTAATTTCTTAATTCCATCAAAGATCATACTAAAAGTGCCATTAGGATCTTTTCCTATAATTTCATCTTCATTAAGAACACAATTAATTTGTTCCCTTACTGCTTCATCTTGAATACCAAATAAA